AACCACAATCGAAGTCTAATCATGATTTAATAAAATCTACGTAATTTCCCAAATGAATAGAACAGTTCATCGACTGATTATTATTACTCGTATCAATTGAAACCGCCAAACGAGGTGCATTACACGTGTACTCCACGACCTATTTTTTTGATAAAATTAATCTCATTGTTCGAATGAATTGTGACGAATGGCATGTCGATAGCTTCTTGTAAATACAAACTCTCTCCGCCTATTCTTATTTACCCCCTGCTCCATCGATCGTATTTAATACGTATTTTCATTTATGAAAAGAATTTGCTAAAAGAGTGTAGATTCGTCATCCAGTAAATGTCTCAATACCTGTTCACAATTTCTACTCATTCCCTCTTTATTTTCAATCATTTTATATCAATTTATATCATACATATGTCATTTCATATCATGTTATATGCAATCTTAAGCCACTAAGTAGAAATTGTAACAACAACAGAAATTGAGATACTCACTAAATCTGGGCATTCGTTATGCATGTAACCTGACAGCGCAACCATTAAGCATGCTGGATAAATACTAATAGGAATAAACAAGAGCTGAAAATCACGCTTGTTAAACCTCATTTGTTCAAAATCGAGTATCTCAAAATATCGAAAATCTCTGAAAATATGAACAGGCAATAACAGGATTATTTTATTACGTACATACATGAACTTTTTACTAATTAGAAATGTGACGCCATAGGACCCTTAAAACATTAACATATTTTAACAATTGCAAAAATCTCGTAAAATATTGACTGCACAATTCATTCACTCTAATTACTAGACAACGGATATTTACGCAAATGTTCATTTTTATAGAAAGTAAATAAAAACAGAAATTTACGTAGTCCGTACAAAATTTTCCAAATAAATTTTGCACATTTCATATAATGCATATTTCTTACTACGTATTTTCGACATACATATTTTGCATTCAATTGCGCTGTCTACTGATTACATTGCAAACAATCTTGTGTTCAATCCTATTTGAATTATTCGTTAGCGACTGTCTAGAAGAGATACTCGGTGCGTCACTCTAGGAATTATTTTTATTTACATATTTCGATTCGCAGGCACAGTGATCGCTACCACTATCATCGCACGGCCTGGCTTATCCTTACTTTCAAATATCACTTTGCATCAAGGAAACTGCATCTACGACCTGGCTCAACCTCTTATCCGACCAGAAAAATATCGTTGGAGAACGTGTTTGTAAAATGGGTACCCTCGTTCTGTACGAAATAGCAAGAATTGAAAGGAAGAGACCGAAGGGACTAGAAAGCAAGGAAAAAGGGAATGAAAGTTTTTATCGTAGCGAGCGTCGCCACTATTATAAAAATCTGAATATAATAATAGCAATAACAATAATAATAATAATAATAATAACAACCACAACAACAACAACAACAATAATAACAATAATAATAATAATAATAATAATAATAATAATAATTCATGGAAAGAACAATTAAATACCAATGTAAATAATTTAAATAATTAAAACAGAGAATAGAAATGAGAGAAACGATTACACTTCACCCTGACATATTCATCCGAGCCTCTGAGGAATTAATGTCCATAATTAATAGCCGAGAAACACAATTCATTTTATGCCTCTTCTGTTAAATGCTTTGTCATTGTTATACTACGTTTAATTGAGGTTGAGTCATGGTAAAGGTAGATTCAGATCGACCAATCTTCTCGTGTGGTGGATATGTGAAAAACTTAGAGAGAAAGAGAGAGAGAGAGAGAAGGATTGCAGATAAATTAATAAATATTAATTCAATTGGAGAACATCAATTAATGTTTGGTCCGTTTATTAGAATTTTGTTAATTAATAGACTGCAGCTTTTATGCATTTATCAAAGTATTAGATATGTAAGAAGAAATGAAAAATACAAAATTATAACATTTTAAGGATCCAGTGCATTCTTACTTAAAGAACTTACTGAAAAAAGAAATTTTCGTCAGCGTCAATACTTACTTGGATATTTCCTTCTCTACTTTTTAGCACGTAGCTATTTATTATTAGCATTATTCTTCCGACGTCTGATTTCTTTTTAATTATAAGAAATGCGTTTTTCTAAGGTACATAAACTTTTGGGATTGACTGTATAGCCAATACATCCTTAAAAACATTTTTTACATTGAAATCCTTTTAGTTTTGTTTTGCATAAAAATTCCCAGTCTACTAA